CTAACAGGAACTGGGGAAGTTTCAGGGGAGGTGACCACACACCTCAAACAACCTTATTTAGGCCATTCTTCTCTTTAAAGGGAAATAAATAAACCCAAATTAGATTCCCATCTTTGACCACTGCTGTCTCCCCTTCTATGGGAGATGGGGGACAGTTGCAATTTTCTTTTTTTGTAAATGGAATAGAAAATGTTTTGTTTGTTAGCAGTCTTATTGGCGATACCTGGGAAAATAAACTTGGTTTTGGCATAAAGCACTGGGCAAAGACTGTTCAGCTAGTGATGTTAATGAATGAATTCACTTCTGTTAGACATTCTTAGAGATGACAGAATTTATGTGACTAAACTATTTTTTTTGACATACAGCAGCTTTATTTTATGTTGTATTGGGCTTGGGACCAAATGGAAGAAATATTTGAGAGATGGTGAGTTACTTGGTACTTAGCTATGACTTATATTGAACTGTTACCGCTGACCCCAAAGTTGTTCTTTATTCACATTTGCCTCCTGGTGCAGTGGCTAAATTGCAATACTGCAGTAAAGACTCTACTCACGATCCAAGAACAACCCCAGGTAACTGGCTTGAGGCTGACTGAGGCTCATATCCCTCTGAGGTCAGTAAATTGAGTACCTAGTTCACAGGGTGTGTATGTGCAATGCGTAGCCTGCATAATTACATTGTAGACCGCCCCGGAGAAAGCTTTAAGCACCATGGTTGGTATATAACCATCATACTTCACTTTACTTTTGCTTGTGTTTACTGCAGAAATTTGACCAAACTCCGGGAGGCAGTGGAAGACAGGAGGGCCTGGCGTGCTTTGGTCCATGGGGTCACGAAGAGTCGGACACGACTTAACAACAACAACTGGAGAAAAGGTCACAGTGTGCCCAAAGGAGACTTCCTATTCTCATATAAATGCACGTAGGATTTCAGTCAAAGACTTACAGGAAACAAGAGAGCTAAATCAGTAGTAACAAGTTTTCTATACTGCTTTCAGTTACGGTCCAAATATTGTTCACACAGTTAGCAATTGCTTGAATGCCTTTTCAAAACTAAAAGGCAAATGGTGTGGGGAAGAATAATTCAGATAGACACACATGTGGGTGGGGTGGAGACATTTAAATATTTGCATTGGTAGTGCCAATAGAGACCAGTATTTATTCTGGAGGACAGAATCTTCCATTTGTGCCAATGGAGGCAGTAAAAAATTTGAAATACCCACCCACACCTAAACCCTAAGCTTTCACCAGTCCTGTGCTTGATTTCGTTCCCTCCTTCCCAGCTGTCTCTACTGGATCAGTGGCTCCTCATCTAGTTTGGTTCTTAGCTGCAACTAATTTTATCAAGGCTAGTTCTTTTGCTTGTTTGTTTGTTTCTCCAACTTCAAATATTTATGCAAACCTAGTGTTAGTGTTCATTGCTGTTTTGTTAATTATTCACATACAGCAGCTTGGAATTGGCACAAAGAAGTAATCCTGAATAGAATATAGCACCAAAGTCTAATGGAAGTTGGCAAACAGTCAGCAAAAAAAGTTGACCCAACAATAACAGGCTTGTTAGCAACCCAAGGCTAAAGCAACAAATGATATTCTCTCTCTACATTGTTACATATCTCTCTGTCATATCTGAACAAAATCATCCATTGCAATTTTCATTTTAAGAAACATAACAACTTCTTACAAACATTGTAGCAAGTTGACACAAACTGCTTTATGTGATTGTATTAACTGGACATGATTTACAGGTCAAAACATATATTTAAACTCTATTAAGTTTTTTAAAAAACCCATTTCTTTCTTGTTCATAAGACGAGGGACTACATTCCAAACATGGGTAAAACGCTCCCCCTAGTGGCTTTTAGAGAAAGAGCAAATTGCATCACTTACAGGCACATAAGCAACCCCAGAGTAGACATGGGCACTTAGTACTCATATCTGGGGGATAGGAATACAAAGTGAGGCATCACAGGTGAGACAGTGGTCCATTCCCACCCTCCAGAACCAGCCCGTCTTTCAATACTATCACTGCACCATTTGCAGTAGTAGTCTAGCTGGTGCTTCCCCGCCTCTCTCCACAGCCAACGGCTCAGCAGTCGAGTGGGGAGATTCCTCTTCCTGCCTCCTTGTTTGAGTAGTTGGCTGCGGGGGCAGGCGGGGAAGTGCCAGTCAGACTACTTCTGCGACTGGCACAACAACGTTGATGGAGGTGCATGCTTTGCAGAGCCCAATGAGTGGACTGGGCTGGTACTGGGTGAGTGGGAATGGACTGCTCTGACACCTGTATCAAGGAGATACAAATATGAAACACCCATGTCTATAACAAAGTCCTTCTCTGGGTGATACAGGCCTTGTTTGTCTACACAGGCCCTTTCAGATTGGGCTGGTGCAGGCTAAATGGGTTTCCTTGGAGTCAGTTAGAGGTACGATATGCCATTTAGTGGAATTGAAGCAAACCTATTTGGTCCAGCTCCTTTTGGTCTGAATTTCTGACATCAAGGAGACACTTCAGGATATTCACAAACTGAACACTTCATTTGCTCCTTGGTGAAGAGGCAGGGGAAGAAAAAAATTTTTAGACCGTAGTAGAACTCTGCTGATGTGCTGTGCCACTTCTAATTGCTAGGGTAAAAAAGGCAAAGCAACTCATCCCTACAGCACACCAAACAGAAGGCTAATTCCCATTACTGATGATCACACAGTTATTTGTGTTATGTGCTGTCAAGTTGTTTCTGACTACAGTGACCCTAAGAATTAATGATGATAACCAAGAGGACTTATTGTTAACAGCTTTGCTAATTTTCCCTCCTAAAACTCCTCTTCTGTTTAAGAATCTGTTCAAATAAATGTTCAAACAAATGAATCAAGTAAATGTTCAAGAGTTTGGGGAAAAAACACCTTTGAAAATGATTCTCTATGCTCTATTTTATGTATGTAAGTGTGTGGCTGCAATCTATTAGTGTTAACACTGAAAGCTTCCAAACTAAGCTCTTTTCAGCAGAGGTTCACTCTGCTCTCTGTTGCGTTTCAAACTCAGCTATCTTTCATATCAGCTCTTTGGAAAACATTAACACAGCTCTTGGAAACCTTGAAAAATTTTTACATTTTTTTTGGCAGGGGGTTGTTGATTCTGACCTAAGAGGCTCTTGCTGCTTGAACTCTAACTCTTTACAAAGCAAAAACCAACATACTGTACTATTAATTTTTACATAGTAAAGAAGCAGCCAAATGTGTTTAAAATAACAACCACCCAACCCTAATATTTTTTGCTTAAACAACTTGAAAAAGGGCAAAAAACCTAGAACCTATTTTAGTCCATCAATAGTCCATCAAAGAGCCCGAAAAACCACAACAACCATCAATAATTGTTTGTCTAAATTATATATAGACAGAAAGACAGTATCTTTTTTTTTACAGTGGTCTCAATGGGGAAGATTTCTATGACAATTAACATTTTCTCTGAAACCTACATTTGAACCAATAAACAAGTTCAAACATGTTTATGAATACTGTAATCTGGTCTTTCTCACCAGGTTGCTCATAAACATGTTCAAACCAACCCATAAACTCAGGCATAGGTTGCAGGAAAAAAATGACATGTCATAGAAATCTGAAGCTAATGATCACTGACAGGAAAATTTTAACTGATGAAGGGCTGGTGCAAATATATTGCATTAAAATCAACAGAGGATCTAATGGCATATTAAATATAGATAATTATAGATAACAGTGGCCAAAATCCTGTTGTGTAATTATCCGAACAAGAAATATTTGGAAGTGAATTGCTATATGTTAAGAAATCCGAATGGACACATTATGTTGCAAACCAAGCAGAATGGGTTAAAATTTCATTTGTCTTTATCTTTTTATTTTTTTTATTAACATTGTTTACAAAAAGCCCTATGTCATGATAGTTTAAAATTGTTTTAATTGTTCAAAGATCTCCTTATACAATTTGAATTATAAATTCTAATTCTATGAGACATAATTTTTTTCGGAGTTCATGGATTAGGCCTCATTTTTATGATGTATGGTCTATTTAATCTAGTAGCCAGCATCACAAAATTCTGCAGCTCCCATGTTAACAGTAATATATGGAGATAATAAATAGTGGGCCTGATTAAACCTTTTCCAAATTTGACAGAAGACTGTCCTGCATCAGTGGTTCCCAACCTTGGGTAATCCAGGTGTTCTTGGACTACAAATCCCAGATGCCTTCACCACCCGCTGGGTTGACTAGGGTTTCTAACACCCAAGTTAGCCAAGGGGACTACAAATCCCAGAAACCTTCACCACCGCTGGGTTGACTAGGGTTTCTAACACCTGAGTTAGCCAAGGTTTATTTATTTTAGATATTTTAACCCTGCCTTTCTACTTGAAAAGGACCCAAGGAAGAATGAAAGACGGTATTTAAAGTTGAAAAACGAGTACACATAATTAAAAGGTAATACCTAGAACTACAAACAAGGTTGGGAACCACTATCCTAGAACTTCCCCCCCTTTTTTCTCGACATAAAAGATGAGTGCAATTTTAGGAAGCCCTATTAAAATATCCAGCACTGCTTCCAATAATTTACTCAAGTGATGCTGAGTTTCCAGAGTCGTTGCTGTTGCTCCTTCAGTTTTGTATAAACCCTCACCTTTCTTTCCTTGAAAGCGCGCACTTTGAGATATTTGAAGCTCAAACGAATCATGAACAAATTGTGAAAAATACTCTTATGCATTGAGGAAAATCTGTATTAACGCGTTACCATACTAAATGCACGTTTTAACGGGGGGGGGAAATCACAGGCGGAAAGGAAGCCTTTCGGAGAAGCGACTTAAATAACTATTTAAATAAATCATGATTTAAATCCAGTCCCCCCCCTCCCCCCAGGCGACTAGGGTATGCCGTTGCTATGACCACACTGCCCGCACTGCATTCTGGGAGACCGCTCTGAGTACCATGAAAAACCCCGTGCCGCAGCCGCTGAGCCGAACTGCCATTAATAAGCGGCAAGGCGGGGAGCGGACAGCCAGGCCGGGGAGTCGGTTGCTATAGCGACATGGCAGAAGGCAACGGAGAACCCTCTCTAACCTCCCGCTCCGGATTGGACTTCCACTCGGCAGCTATTTACGTCAAAGGAGGCGTGCCTCTCATTGTCCACGCCCCCTCCTTCCCGCTACACCGAGGTCTATCATGGCGATACTAAAGTCCACCCACCCTCCCTTCCGGAGCCCAAGATGGCGGCAGGGTTGTTATTAGAGCGAGGGCGCGCGGTGACGTCACCACGCCGGCCCCACCCTCCAACCCGGAAGTACGTCTCCCTCTGTGGGTAGACCAGCGGCGGGGCGGTTCTCCGGATAGCGGGCTTTGGTCCGCTCTGAGCGGCCATGGCGGCAGCCGCCGAGCTGCAGGGGAAGTACCAGAAGCTGGCGCAGGAGTATTCCAAGGTACCGACAGGCCACACCTTCCCTCAATACACAAGAGACACCCCCGTGCACAAAATGGTATCCGCCCTTAGCAGTGGCTTCCATAGGGAGAGACCCGCGTGAGGGCAGAGCCTCCCGGTACGGTAGCCCCGTAGGGTCAGTTCTCGTTTGAGCCGTCGGGGAACACCGGTTCCTTCCTTGGTGGCTTGTGCGGTTGGGGTGGGGTGCCTTCAGGCTGCTGCCCAGTGGGGCAACCTGGGCGCTCGCCATTCGCCCTGCCAATTTAAAGACATAACATGACGGGTTAGCTGTGCAGGCGGGCGGGGGGGTCCCAGGGTGAGTCTCGGGCATCTCTAGCCCCAAAGAGATGGCCAGGTCCATGGGAAAGACGCCTGGGTGAGGTTCTGCAGAGGTGGTGCAAGTCGGTGGAGGTAGGGCTGGCTAGATGGACAGATACCTATCTCCTTTAAGGGATCGCCCTGTGCTATAGATATATGTGTGTGTGAGAGAGAAAGCGAGAAAGGAAGGAAAAAAGGGAAGGTCCTGCAAGTCTGTGCCAAGGAGGAAGCCAGGAAAGGGGATCTGACACTACTCTCAGGGCCATAGCTGGTTCCTGGATACAGTACTTATCTTTCATTGCCAGCCCAGCGTTGGAAGATGGATGTAGAGCTGTATTTTCCCACTCCAGATCTGTTGGACCACAACTCTCATCTTCAGCAGTACAGTGCATCTGCTGGGCACTAGGTTGGGAAAGGAGAGTATAAAAGCAGTGGCAACTACCCTCTGTTCTCCACCTCTTCATAGAGAAATCAACCCTGACCTGACCCCCTCAGGAAAAAAAAAAAACTAGGTCAACAACAGGGATCTACTGTGGGTATATCTGACTTTAAAAATATTGATTGTGTAGGTGGCCTTGGGAGAAATGCAACTGCTATCTTACTTTAAAAATATTGATTGTGTAGGTGGCCTTGGGAGAAATGCAACTGCTGCTTCAGGTAATAAGTGAGGATCAGGTATGGTAGTGTCGTGATGACATTGTTGCCTCAGGTGCAGCAAGGAATGCATGCCAATTTTAATTCTTATATCCCACGGCACGTTCATCTGTAATGCAATGCTAAACTAGCTTATTACTCTCACAGCAGTATTAATAGCAGCCGTAAACTAAACACTGTTGCACCATAAAGTTTTCTGAATGTTGTGCCCACAGACATTTCCTGTTGCCCAGTTTTTCTGTGAGTATGTTATAGGGGAAAAAATTATAAGGGCAAATTGTAAAAATAAATAATCTTCACTAAAATGTTTGGAAGTTTTGCATTCCTGCCTTGTATCAAGACAAAAGGAATATTTCCTTTTTT